GCTTCTAAAAGTTCTGACGTTTTTGTAATTTCCTCTGTCCAAGATTTCCACATTTTTCCAATCGAATGAGTGTCCGCAGCTGTTCACGTGTACTGATACAAGGGAGGGAGTATCATGGCGTTTGACTGCTAATTGATGTTCATGTAGGCGAAGGTGAAGGGGGCGTCCGCTTTGTCCGATGTAGTGTTGTTCGCAGTTGGCACAATTTATTTTGTAGATGATGTTTGATTTGTATTCCTTTGTTGTTTCACCCTTTGGTTTGCATAGGATTGATTGTAGTGATTTTGTCGGTTTGTGTGCCACACTTCACTTCTATCGGAAGTTTGTGATATCGTTCAGAAGAACGATGAAAGCTCCACGATCAAACCATCCAGCTCAGAGGACAAAACTCGATCAAAATCATCCACCTGATCTACAAATCTTTTCCACCATGTGATAAAATCGCCAATCAGAGACACCGAGTTGCACGATCAGACCAATAGCACATAAACCTGTACAAGCAGCCTAGAGTTCTAATTGGTCTTTTGAGATAGTGGCTCTTACAATTCAGTTTAGAATGCCAATATCATTCTTCACTATACGAATAATATATTTCAGACATACTTGATTTATATGCAAACAAACTAGACCGCATCATATCATAAAATAAGAAATAACAATTGCGCACTGTGGTTATGAGGGGGGTGACTTTGGATTAAGAATAGGTTGGGACTAGAAAATCATCAAATAGTCAAATGAAAGCTTATAATAAAAGGAGTATGAAAATACATACTGTAGTTACTTAATAATCATACAGTAAGAACATACGTATAATATTTGTCCATAAATAGTTCCTAGAGGTTGCCATTCATTTCTTCCTCATTAGGACATAACATACTTGATTGCTTAACTGCCAGAAATGAGTTCGTGCCTCTTCTGATACTCCTAAATCAATTTTTCAGATTTTAACCGAGTCTACAGAGTCGATCGCTTTTGTGTGCCTTCCATATGTTAGGACGGGCCAGTGCAAATAATTGACGGGCAATCTCAGTCATATACTTAACGACTAAATGTTCACTTCTCCATAAAGGTGGCAGGAAAATTATTTGACTGATAGCCTGGCCGTATGAGAAGACGAAGTCTAAGAGAGATGAGGATTTTTGTTGATCATATCCGATGAAATCTCTAATGTACTGGAATAAAAATAGGGAGATTCATGTTCCTAACAATTTGCAATCAAACGATGTTTTTAATGACCCTACTTCTAAGGTTCCCCGATTCATAGACGGTGAATTATAGTCACCTACAATGGGGCTTTTACACTTGCTTAGCCAGGGTTCAAGTTTAGTTAGGAGGACGTCATTCGCTACATATGTACTGGCATTGGATACAAACCACATTCCTCAAGGCTGAACATGAAATAACCGAGAAAACAGACCTTCAACGTGCAACACTAAGAGAAGGTCAATATTGGTGGACGCAGTAACATTCACTCGAAATTCAATTCATCGGATGAAATGACTCGGCTTTGCAGGCATGGTCATTCTTGAGTGTTGTCTTATATCTTTTATTTACGTTAAATATATTTTAGGGTTAGGTCTATTATTAGAGCAGTACCAATAACGAAATAGACCATATGTCTACGCATATTCTGGACTGTGGTTTACCACAGCCAAATGTCTTGCCTTTTATATTTCAGCCTACCGCACACCAGTTCACATGTCCCTGAGTCTCGTGCCACTTTCACAACAGCTCAAGTGGTCCAGAGCTTTGTGTGTACAGAATAATCACACTACTGAGATTTAGTACGTTGGCTTTGCAAAGTAAAAAGTCAAATTATTGAATTACACCATCATGTTACCCATGTTTCTGAGATGGCTATGACATTAGGTTTTTCTGTGTTAACCACGGTACTGAACTCCGTTATTCTATTTAGTAATTTCCGAGCATTTGTATGGCATACCTTTAGTTCTGTGAAATACTTTCCCTTACCACTCAGAATGGTTTAAGTTTCAGATTTGTGTAGCAAGTACAGAAGGCCTACGGCCTATTCTATTCCTTTTCTAGTATGCCTCTAAGAGTCTCCGGTCTTCTCTTGAATGTGTCAATTGAAGGTGCGGACGTCACTACTTCGGGTAACAGGTTCCAAGAATCGATGACTTGGTGTGAAAACCTGTATGTCACTGTTATTTTGTTAGTTCTTGGCTTTTCTACTCACCTGCTATGTCCCGATCTAGTGGGAAGAAAAAGAAAGAATATATTAGGTCTAAAATAATTTCTTGGTATTCTGTACGTCAAAATCAAATCACCTGTCAGTCTGCGATAGGACAGACTAAAGAGGATATCCGAGTCACCTTTTAAACAGGGGATTGCAGCATGAACGTAGTTCTCAAGCTTAGTTCTAACTAAGGTTGTGCATGCTTATAATATTTTGAATAATTTGAATTGTAGTATGAACTAGGAATCCCAGAATTAACGCAACTGAATTAAGAAGTGAGACACAAGCACAAACGAATGTATTGTATTTGGAATTCGAAATCGAGCATTCAACAAGTGCAAAGGTATCATTGGTTCATTCAAACACCACATCCGCCACAGCTTAAATTGGAGTCTAAATGTTTGTAATCAATTGTACGTCTTTTTTCAAATTCATCCTGAGTCTGTCTGACATTGTATTGGATAAGGATTCCGTATTATCTAGAATATGCTCATTTGCATTAGAATTAACAATCGAAATTGGAACTGACTCACCTGGTTCCTGAAATTGTATTTGATCTACATGTCGACTGTGTGTACTTAAGTCATCGATGTCTAGAATTTGCATCATCGATTTTCCGACATTCTTCAGTACAATACCCGTAGATGGTCGAAGATCATTTCCTCGATAGTATGTAACGTCTGCAGACTCCAAACATCTCATATTCGACCGAAGAATTCTTCCTTTCAATAGCTTCGCTGGAGTCTCCTCCGTCACCGAATGTCTGGCATTTCTATATTGCAACAGAAACGTATTTACTCCCCTCTCCAGCTCATTAAATGTTGGGGGGCTATAGAATCAATAGCAGTCTTTAATGTCCTAACAAAATTCTCTGCCTGACCATTAGAACACGGATGTCTGGGAGCAGTAAATAGATGTTTGCACCCTACACCGTTCAACCAGGTAGTGACTGCATCTGCAGCAAAATGTGAGCCACTATCAGTCACCAACACCATGGGAACCCCTTCTCGACTAAACACCTTTCTTAATGTTGTATTGTGAAATCAGAATTTGGTGAAGTGAAAAAAACTTCAGGCCACTTTGAAAAAGAATCAAAGACTACTAGTGCGTAGTATTTACCACGAAATGGTCCACAATAGTCAGCATGAATCCTCTGCCAGGCCTCAGACGATACTGACCATGGCACCCACTTCGAAGGATGATTTTTCAACTGATGACATTTCTCACAATTGTTTGCCGTACGACATATATCTGCATTTATCTCTGACCATCAGCATGTGAGCCTTGCCAAGGGCTTCATTTTCTCAACACCTAAATGACCACTATGAAGATCTTGAAGAACAGATTTACGCAATGAAGGAGGAATGACGACACGATCATTTAAACACAGAAAACCATCAGGAGTAGTAGATAGCTCATCCCGCTTTGAAAAATAAATAGGAAATCTACGTTTCAAATTAGCATTCCAACCTTTCCTTATAGCACTGAGTATACATCCAAAGTATCTAAGAGTTTCTTTAATGAGATCTGAACGTCTCACTGGTAAAGGTTGCACTAGCAAACAGTCGGAAGTATCAACAGGTTTATCTTCTAATGATTGTCGAGAAATGTAGTCAACATGTTGAATTTGTTTGGCACTTCTATGGTGAACTGTATAGTCATATGCACTCAAAGCAATACTCCATCGTTGAGCCATAGCAGCTGAGGAACCTGCTAAGAATTTTTCAGGATGACAAATAAACTTTGAAGCTTCATGATCAGTAACAATAGTGAATTTCTTTCCAAATAAATATTTATGAAGTCTTTCAACAGCCCGAAAAACAGCTAATGCTTCTCGCTGAGTCTGTGAATAACCTTGTTCAGTAACAGTAAGTTTGCGTGAAACACAAATAACTGGTCTACCTTCCTGTTCCAGAACTGCACCAATTCCCACAGGTGATGCATCAGTGATAAGCACAGAATGTACATTAGGGGAGTATGTTCGAAGAACAGCATCATTTTGAAGAAACCTTAGTAGACTTCGTAAACATAACTCTTGTTCCTCACTCCATTTAAATGAATTGGATGTTAAAATATTAAACAAACAATTTGCACGACAAGAAAAATTAGGAATAAAACGGGAATAGTATTGAAGAGCACCCACTATTGAACGTAATTCTGTAAGATTTTTCGGAGACGCTGCATTAGTCAGTGGAGCTAGTCGTTTCATATCTGGTCTAAAACCATTACCATCAACTAGGTATCCAAGAAATCCAAAACTGGATACACAAAATGAACACTTATTTGGATTCACTGTGATATTCTTCTCAACTAAACGACACCTTAGAGCAATAAGTCTCTGGTCATGAACTACTTTATCAGAACCATGAACAGTAAGATCATTTTGATAAACTTCAACATCTTCGAGATCACTAACTAACCTATTCATAATTTCCTGAAATATAGCTGGAGAACAACTTAGACCAAATGGAAGGAAATTGTATTTGAACAGACCAAAAGGAGTGTTAATTGTCGTCGAAATAGATAGGGATTAATCTAAAGGGATTTGAAGATAAGCATGTTTTAGGTCAACTCTCGAGAACACCTTAGAACCGTGAAGTCGATTTGGAATAGCTTCAGCCTCTACCATCGTTCACGTTTGCTTCAACAAACGGGAGTTGAATGTTTTCTATAATCACCACATTATAGATGTCTTGCCATTCGACTTCAGTGGTGTAACAATAGGAGTACCTCATGATAAGGACCTAATAGGTTCAACTATAACTTTCGCACACAAATCGTTTAATGTCTTACTTACTGCTTTTCAAAGAACATAAGAAATTATTCGTCTTTTAAGAAAGACTGGATCACCCTGTACTTGAAGTTTTATAGACTGAATTTTCATACCTCCACTGCACTTAGCACACATAGCTATCAAATCTTTAAGTAAAGTATCCAAATTCTCTTTAGAAACTAGGAAGGACAACTCCACCTTAAGCCTTTTCCAATTCCTTAAACCCAAAATTGACAGTCCTGTTTCGCTAACTAAAAATTCACAAGGTATGTATAAAGAATTATCGTCTCTCATTAGCAATTCACAACATCCTCGTATGGGCAGTCTGTGTCCATTAATCCCCAATATTGATACTTCAGTGGGTCGTACAACGTTAGGATCTAAAGCTTTCAAGTTCTTGAATGAAATAATGGACTCTATACTGCCTGTGTCCAGAATAAAGTCATGAAATGAACCAAGCGATGTATATAGTCGTTTTTGAATATGAGCATTACCTTTCGAAATAGTAGACAAAGATAAATGATCACTAGAAACATCCGAATTATTTAAATTTAAAGTACAAGATTTAGTACAGCTTGAAGCAAAATGGACAGTAGCTCTGTATACTAACTGAATGTGTCCTACCTTGCCACACTTAAAACATTTAGCATTACGAAATACACATGAATTGCGAGCATGAAACTTTCCACATGATAAACATTTACCAAACTTCATCTCACCTTTGTGATTTGCCTTGTAATTCCTCGTTGAAACACCTTTCATATTTACACGAGAATAGGAGTCACTGTTAAATGAACGCAAGTTTGATTGACCCTGAGATTGTAGTTCATCTCGACGACTAAGCAAAGTATTAGAAATCTTCATAGACTGGATATCAAGTTCATTTACTGCTTCGTAGTTAATACACACAGTTCTAGCATCTTGAAAGGAACAGTTTGGCATTTTTAACAGCTCTCTTTCCAAACTCGGTATGTTAATTCCTGCAATTAATCGATCTCTCAGTTGCACATGAAGTTGATCACCAAAATTACACTTGGCAGCTTGTTTCTGTAATTCAAGGATGAATTCTCGAGCCTTTTGGTCATTTTGACGAATTATCTTATGAAACTTCGCCCTTTCACGGCATTCAAAACTGGTGCATTTTACATGACTTAATAATAGCTCATTAAGAGTTGCATAAGGGAGTGAGATAGGTTTTTCTGAATATGCCAAAGTTTTTAATAAGCTGTACGCTTCTCTCCCAATGAATGTCAGAAAATGTGTCCCAATTTTATCATGGTAGTAATTAGTGAATATCCATCTTAAAGCCCGGAAGGTTTTGAACCCCTTAGCTGCGACCTGTGAGCAATGGCCTGTGGTCTTAAAACCATGACTCACTATCAAATGATCGTTTTTCCCCGAAATTTCGCAATCTTAAAAATCTTTAGGATTAAGGTTTTTACCGTTCCAGTGGCGATTATTTGTTTCTAACTTCGCCGATCATCTCTTACTACGATCAACGAGGATGAGATTCTCATGGACTTACATTCCGAGTCCAATCACTTTGTGTGAATTCTCCAGTATTAGATTTCCTCCTTCAGTGGGAGCAAGGGTAATTTTTAAGTGGCGGGTTTTCGGAATACTTTTATAATCCACTTTTTGTCCTATTCTATAAAGTTGATGGACTCTAACTCCTGCTACTGCTTCTAGAAGTAGCCTGCTTAATAAGAGCCTAATGTGTCTTCAGCCGTGTTCAAATCTAGCCTTTGGTTCCTGATTAATGAGAAATGGATGACCTGTTGGCAAAGTCCGTTTTAACAAGCTGTGAAATTTTGTCACCAGTTATCTTCTTATCCCTTCGGTCCAACCCGGCAACAAATGTGAAGGTCTCACTCTCTTCCTTTAATATTCTCGGTATAACTGTGAGCCGATCACCGACCTTATTATGTATTTTGCTTGTAATATCAACATTGAACGGGCGTTGCTTCTCTACAATTTGTTTTGCGCCGACATGTAAATCCGGTGCTGAAACCATTGACTCTTCTATCTTTGAACCTCATTTTCCGCGGAAAGTCAAGCTTCTTCTTGAAAATGTTTACTAATGGGGCTAATATCATAATTATGACGCTAGAATAAATGTTTGTGCAGTCATAGTTTGGAGTGATGCTATGAAAGTCTGAATTAAGTGAAAAGGATAATGAAATATCAATAGCTGTGAGTCATATATGCATAGTGAAGATAAAATGAGTCTGAGAAGTTAATTTAAGTGTAAAAGGGGATTCGCTGTGCCTAGTGAAGAGAGTTTTATAAGAAGTTTGTATCCTACCGTGTCGAAAACTCCACTAAAATCGAAGTACAGAATTATCACTTGCTGACCAACACCTCATGTCTGGGTAATTTGATCACAAGACTCCAGGTGTGATGTGAAGCATGAGCGCTTAGTCATAAACCTGTGTTGGGATGGGATAATCAGACCAGCCAAATGTAAAAATGTTAATAGCTGTTTGTGGATGAATGTTTCCACGGTTCTTGATAGCATTGATTTCAAATTAATATAAATCACAACACTGTTCGTAACTTGGGTTTGAGGTATGGTAACAGTTTGAAATTTTTCAAACACATTGCATCTCAAGTATCCAAAGTTAGAAAGCTCATTGGATTCATTATGATAAACTTCGAAAGTCTCTACGTGTTTGTGCGTCTTTGGTCCGATCAATAATTCGCTACCCTCTAATCTGCCGTCACAGTTATAACAATTGGCGACGGGGTGAAGAAAAAATACGATCCAAAGTCATTCTGTAATTGGACAAAATCCAGTCTAATTATTCAACTAATCAGTATCCAGTTTGTCATCAGTGTCCTCGAACGACATTGGTCATTATTCATACGGTAATTTTCATTGCTGGTGCTGACCCAAAAAAATGATACTCCCTTCCGATCGATTACAGCTGCTCTTTGAACGACATTTGGAGTTATTAGTCAAGTTCCGCACGCAGCTGTACTTCAAACGAAACGGCAGTTATCCATGATGCGCCCAGTGGTCCAGTACTTTCCATTTCAGAAACATGTCCGGTAATAGATTCGAACTCCGTTATCTCCGAAACAGCATGTACAGACAGCAACGTATCCAGCTCACGAGAAGATCCCATTGTTTTGCCCGAAAATGTGTTTCACGCATCAACTAATAATCAAGAACCTGGCACAGTTTTGTTGGACGCGGATTACCATAATCATCCATTATCTACTAGTGATGCTCCCTATAAATTTGACAACAATATCTCAGAAGATTTAAACTCTGATGATTTCGAATTGAATGGTTTTTATCCTCATTATCTGGTCGATTTTACTGGATTCCCTGTGCAGTGTGTTTTAAATACAATCAAATTAATTGTAATTTGGATTAATGAAGACCCAACATTATTTCGAGGGGGAGGATAGACGCGAGAAAAATTTAAAATTCGGACATCAACTCCGGATCTCCAAAAAAGGGAAAATATCCCAAAAATTATCCTGTTAAGCCTAATGCTATCCTTGAACATGAAATTGTATCATCTTATTGGTCAGTATTTATTTAACGTGTTATTTTCCTGTTGGCCAATATTGTACAATGTTATTTTGTATTTTGTCGTACGTTGTGGTTTGCTGGATTGGTATATAAACAAAGTATGTTTGAAATATAAGGATTCATAACTCAGAGGCTGTGACTTGCGTTCTGGACTCAGCTGACTGGGCTAGACAGGGAAGCGGGGTCAATCAGAACCCTAGGTCGTTCTACGTGTTTGTGCGTCTTTGGTCCGATCAATAATTCGCTACCCTCTTAATCCGCAGCATTTTTCACAGTTATAACAAAAGTATCGAACCAGGATTATTATTATACAAAAAATGTGTAAGATCTATTTTGAATGTTTTGTGTGTTTGTGAAAATCCCTCCATGTATATACTTGCACTTTGTTCCTATTGATCCCCTTAGTTGTACATTGTTGTCTTGATTACATTTGAATTGTTAATACTTGTATTTTTTTATTATAGTTTTTGTTTTTCTTATGCATTCACTAGGTTTGTGTTTCTTCCCGAACTGCATCTGTGTTGTTTTACTTGACACTTGTTCTTGGCGGTAGCCATATTGATTTGGCCTTCTTTTGTGTGTTCTATCTAGTCAGGATAGGATGATGTTCATTTGTTGTGACTGGTAATTTTCCCTCATCTTTCATCAACTACTTTATTTATTGTAATTTAGATTTGATTGATTGAACAATTATTGGTTGAATAGCCGGGTGGTAATATTTGTTTAGGTAACGATTTACATTTAAATTTATGATGAATTATAGAACCACTTTTTACCCGATTACTTGTTTTGGTTTCGACGGGAAAGGGCGCGTGTCTAACATACCTGGAAGGCTATTCAGCAGTCCAAACCGTAGTTTGGATCTTACAAAATGTATTTTATCCATTCTTGAATATGGTATTTTAATTTTTCAGTAATTGCAGGTATATTGACCTGACTAGAATTGAAGGTGTTCAAAGAAAGTTCACTAAGGCTGATTTGGAGTATTCTGTCAGCAAAGACTATCAACAAAATGTCGATAACTCAGATTAGAACCCCTATGGATCAGAGGTATCAATTTAAACCTTGTCTTTATCCACCAGCTTATTAACGGTATTTCCTACACTTCGTTATCCACCCCTTTTTACTCCATAATATCACCCCACAATCTGCGCAATAAGGAAAATATTCTAGCGATTCCAAGAACCCACACAAACTTACACCATAATTTTTTCGTTAGTCGCTACTCAACCATGTGGAACAGACCGTCACTGAACCTCCGTTGCGGTGAAACTACACCCCGGCTCAGAAGTTTCTTTGATGATTTTCTTTCAGAAAGTGGATCGCATCACTTATTGAATATCAATGTGTTCAAGAATGATTTATATTAGCAAGTTCCGCCACCTATCTAATTAACTGAAAATCAAAATGTAACATTTGAAACTTTTCACGTCTATTTTATTTTATCGCTATTCATCTTAATATATGAATTCTGGTTATATTCGTACCTATAATTATTACTATTATTAATATCATTATCGGTCCCTCGACACATTAGATATTCGTTTATCTCTTTTCATCCTGCTAAACACATTTAATTCCTGATTGTCCTTTGAAATTGATTGTGACTTTCATAGCCTCCCTCTTAATTATTATTGCACAAATGTTTATACTAATATCCGGTTTCACTCTGTATACTATTACATAAATCTACATGTATTTATCTGAGTGCACCAGAGAATTTATTTTATTTTATTTATTCATTTTAGTTTTCTAAATTGTTGGTTTACTTCAAATGTCGATGCTTATTACAACCTTATTATTATGGTTGAACCCTTTCACTAGATATTCATTCCTTTTCTCTCTCTTTTCTTTCCTACTAAATAAATGTTATTCATAAGATTACGAAGTTTGCAATTAAGACAATAGCTTATGTTACACTTAAATTAACTTCTCAGACTCAATTTATCTTCACTATGCATATATGACTCACAGCTATTGATATTTCATTATCCTTTTCACTTAATTCAGACTTTCATAGCATCACTCCAAACTATGACTGCACAAACATTTATTCCAGCGTCATATCTTACTGCACTAATAAGTTATTTTTTCTTGATTATTTTCTATTTTATTTTTGTTACTAATTCGACAACACATACATGGTCGTTTATTTTTGTTCTGTGTTCATAAACACGCCTATTAAACTATTTGCGTATTTTACGTCTCCTTTATTTCTATTCCATTATTTTCTTCCGTTCCTTCTTTAAACTCAATTCAATATACTTCTCAATTACACAGATCCTGATTTCTTATTATTCTATTATTATTAATCCCTTTTTTCAAATATGGCAAATTAATGCTAACATTACTGAAACTTGTGTATTATTGCATTTTTGAAGAAACCGGAAGTGGTTTC